CCCCCCCCCCCCCCCCCATATATCATAAAATTAAATTTAGTTTAACCCAGATGGTTCTTTTTAGCAACCACAATCGGGATGCCCACCTTCGTTCTCTGCTCCTCTGACTTAACACTGTTTTTCTCTTCCCAGGCAATACCTGGTCTTGGTGCCTGTTATTGTCCCCACGGAAACCTCCAGGAAGATCTGCGTCCAGCTGACCCACCTGAACGAGTCTGTGACGCTGAGCATCACCGTGGAATACGGCTTGCAGAACAGGACCCTCCTAAGCGAAGAAGTCACCAAGAAAGACCTCTTCAAGTGCACCGAGTTCGAGGTGAGACCCTCCCTTTCTGACTCTGAGCCGGAAAAGAGTAGCCACATAAAAACGGCTTGGACGTACCTTTTTGGGGACAGTGGAAGAGGAATGTTTCCCCCCCCCCGCCCCCGTTATGATTTTATGACATTGCTATGGTTGTGATCCTCCGTTAACAGCAACATCAATAATGCACAGAGCAATCAAGGCAGCAATTCCAGATGTAATGTTTATTTTGGATCTTTGGCCGTTGTATTCACCAAGTTGTGTGAATAGATCTCTTCTCTTCTCTCCTCCCCTCCCCTCTCCTACTTTGCCTTTTCCCCTCTCTCTTCTCCTCCCCTCCTCCTCTCTTCCCCTCCCCTCCCCTCCCCTGCCTTTTCCCCTCTCTTCCCCTCCCCTCCCCCTCTCTTCTCCTCCCCTCTCATCCACTTCCCTCCCCTCCCCTCCCTTTTCCCCTCTCTCTTCCCCTCCCCTCCCCTCCCCCTCTCTTCTCCTCCCCTCCCCTCTCCTCCCCTCCCCTGCCTTTTCCCTTCTCTTCCCCTCCCCTCCTCCTCCCCTCTCTTCCACTTCCTTCCTCTCCCCTGCCTTTCCCCCTCTCTCTTCCCCTCCCCTCGCCCTCTCTTCTCCTCCACTTCCCTCCCCTCCTCCTCCCCTGCCTTTTCCTCTCTCTCTTCCCCTCCCCTCCCCTCTTTTCTTCTCTCCTCCACTTCCCTCCCTCCTCTCCTCTCTCTTTCGGCTTGGCCAATCAACAGCCACGGTATTCGTCTCTAGAAAAAAAATAAACTAAAGTGCCTCCTTTCTCCCGTCTCCAGCTCCCCCGATGGGAAAGGTCCTTCCAGTCCCACATAGCGCTTTTCACAGTGGAGGTAACAGGAGCAACCCTGAGGTACTTCAGTCGGAAAAGAGTATACATCGACAATCTGGATAGCCTCTTCTTTGTTCAGACCGACAAACCTATCTACAAGCCAGGACAGAAAGGTAAGAGCCATGGTCCTGGGAAGGGAATAAGTCTCTTCAATTCGTGAATGATGATCTCCGTTGAAGAGTTTGTGCTTCTTGGGTATCTAACAAGGGTTCTGCTTTTACCTGCTTTTATGGAGATTTATTTAGCTGCAATAGAGTGGTCAATGTCTGGAATACTCTACCCGACTCTGTAGTCTCTTCCCCAAACCCCAAAAACTTTAACCTTAGACTGTCTACTATTGACCTCACCCCTTTCCTAAGAGGTCTGTAGGGGGCGTGCATAAGCGCACCAACGTGCCTACCGTCCCTGTCCTATTGTTTCTCTTATTCTTTTATTTTTCTTATATGTAACCATTTCATGTATTCACAACTATGTATACTCTTATACTTATTATCTTGTAAACAATTGGCAAATCAAATCAAATAAATAAATAAATAAATAAATATGGGGGTACATAAATGCATAGTCCCATACAGCCCCTGGTCCCATGTTACCGGCCTTGATGTCTTTTTTGTGGGGCACGTCATGGCTGAATTTCGGCCCTAATGAGCCAACGAAGTTTATTTATATATTAATGAAATGACTCTTAGCCTGTCATAACTGAGTCACAACTGAAGCAGCCAATAACCCTCAGCAAATAAATAAATGGATGGATGGATGGATAGAAAGTGGCTGAAGTTGAAAAAGGCTACCTTTGATCAACAGTTGATTTTTTTTTTTAAATTGTAGACCTTCAATCACTCAAATAATGTTAAGCAGGATTCATAGTTTAAAAAGAAAAGAAAAAAAAAAAACAATTCACGCAGCAGTAAATGCAAAACATGTTCCTGGTTATTTACCCCCTGAACCTGGAAATAAAAATAATATGACAATAATTTTTTAAAGCTGTATGGTGCTCAAGGCTGAATGACTCTGGGCAGCTCACAACTATTTAATTTAGGACTTACACAACAGCCCTGGAGGTTTTCCATCTCAGAGACAAGAGTAATTGTGCCACTGAGTTTGGACAATTCTGACTGGTGTGCAAAGTAGTGGATTTGGAAAGACATCTGTCTAGTAGAGGAAGAGTGGCATAAAAATATAACACAATTCAATATAATACTTTTTATGTCTAGGGAGATTCTCAACCACCCAAATCATGGTTTGTTTGCAAAGATGCTTTTTCCAAAAGGCTTTCTTGCTGTTGTTTTTTCCCTTTGAAAACCTTTCATTTCTCATCCAAGAAGCTTCTTCGATTCTCAAGATCTTTTATCCCTATTAAAATGGATTTCTTCTTGCTTTCTCAGTTCAGTTTCGTGTTGTCTGTCTGAATAAAGAATTCATTCCGGTAAACGAGCAGGTAGGTTCCACCATGCAGCATTTTTTTTTTTAAGATAGTTGTTCAGTTCGTGAGAATCTTTGGGGATTATGTAAATGGAGGCACTTCCCTTGAAAGTTTGTTAATCGGTAAGCTCCGTGTTAAAGTTCTGTTAATCCAGTGGGGGGCTCAGTTTCTCCAATGAAACTGGACCTTTGAATCATTCGGGGCGACTTGTGTCTATCTCAGCCTCCCTTACTTTGATTCCTTCCAGATGAGTCGGGAGTACGTTTCCCAGGACTTCCAAACACTATTCTATTCTAGGATTATAATCCTGGAATTTTGGAAAGTAGCAGATTTGAGGGCACTTCCACTTAGGTCAGGGGTAAAGAATTATGGCCCTAAGACCTGTGGACTTCAACTCCCAGAATTCCTGAGCCAACATGGGGAACCATGACCCCTTTATGACTTGTGGACTTCAACTCCCAGAATTCCTGAGTCAGCATGGGGAACCATGACCCCTTTATGACTTGTGGACTTCAACTCCCAGAATTCTTGAGTCAGCATGGGGAACCATGACCCCTTTATGACTTGTGGACTTCAGCTCCCAGAATTCCTGAGCCAACATGGGGAACCATGACCCCTTTATGACTTGTGGACTTCAACTCCCAGAATTCTTGAGTCAGCATGGGGAACCATGACCCCTTTATGACTTGTGGACTTCAACTCCCAGAATTCCTGAGCCAACATGGGGAACCATGACCCCTTTATGACTTGTGGACTTCAACTCCCAGAATTCCTGAGTCAGCATGGGGAACCATGGCCCTTTATGACTTGTGGACTTCAACTCCTAGAATTCCTGAGTCAGCATGGGGAACCATGGCCCTTTTATGACTTGTGGACTTCAACTCCCAGAATTCCTGAGCCAGAATGGGGAACCATGGTCCCTTCATGACTTGTGGACTTCAACTCCCAGAATTCCTGAGCCAACATGGGGAACCATGGCCCCTTTATGACTTGTGGACTTCAACTCCCAGAATTCCTGAGCCAGCATGGAGAACAATGGTCCCTTTATGACGTGGACTTCAACTCCCAGAATTCCTGAGTCAGCATGGGGAACCATGGCCCTTTTATGACTTGTGGACTTCAACTCCCAGAATTCCTGAGCCAGAATGGGGAACCATGGCCCCTTTATGACTTGTGGACTTCAACTCCCAGAATTCCTGAGCCAGCATGGGGAACCATGCCCCTTTATGACTTGTGGACTTCAACTCCCAGAATTC